CCTGCTGGAGCCAGCCCAGAGGAGGCACCAAGGGATCAGAGGGATGGAGCAGCTCTGCTGGGAGGAAAGGCTGGGAGAACTGGGATTGACTTGGGATTGGAGAAGTCTTTGGGGTGAACTAATTGTGACCTTCCAGTAGCTGAAGGGAGCCCACAGGAAAGATGGAGAGAGACTATTTACAAGGTCTGGAGTGACAGGACAAGGGGGAATGGCTACAAATTGACAGAGATTAGGCTTAGGTTATATATCAGAAAAAAAAAAATCTTGACTGTGAGTAAATACCTAATTTTATTCTCTTAACCTTTCTAGCTTCTACTCCAGGTAGCCACTCCAAGGCATCAGTTTGGCACTGAAACAGGTTGCCCAGATCTGGAAAACAGATAGGATTCAAAATCCTGAACTGGAAGCAAATAAAGGGTCTGGAAGCTAGGCTGAATTAATCCTTCAGTGCAATTCTTTAAAGCAGATATATCTTATCTAAGCAAGTTAATCCAACAAAATAATGAGGAACATAAAAAATGGAGTGAGAAAACAGAAAGTGTGTGTAAGCTTCAAAATGAAGATGCATGCAAGGAAATTGCAGACATATTTCTAATCATCTATCTACTATTGTGGTTTTTTTGTTTGTTTGTTTTATATAAATATATTTTTTTGGGGGGGTGTTGTCTTTGGTTTTTTTTCTCCTTTGGCAAGAACAAAACTTCTTTCTACCTGGAATCTGCATCTCTGTGCTGATATACAATATTGCCAAGTGAATCAAAGGTTTCATTTTGAACTTCTTATTCTTTCTGGGAAAACAAAGTAATTATGGAAGGAAACAGTAGATGCTGACTTTTTAAAATAGTCTGAGCTGTCATCTTAAAAAAAAAACATTCAAGAGCTGGTGTGTGAAATTTATTATTTGAAAATGAGTCCTGAATTTTTTTTATGTAAAATTTGATTTTACTCCAGCCAGAAAAACGTCTTTGAAATATACCTTTTGCTATCAATGAGCTAGACTATAAAAATTTTATTGTATGTGGTATATATTAGTACAACACCACGTTGTTATAATTGAGGTATTAAGAACAGGTATTAAAACTCCAGAGAAGGAATAGGAAAAATACATTAAGTTATCATTAATTGCTAATGTAAGACTCTGGAAAGAAAGAGGCATATTTGATAAGGGCAAAAAAAGAAAAAAATTATATTCATTAAATAATAGAATGTTCAAGATCAGATAAGAATTATTACAATTATTTGTTCTCTAGTTTCTCAGTCTCTTCATCTTTCCTAATGAAGGCAAGTGTGTGTAAAGTAAAAGGCACCGGTGGCAGGGTGAGCTCTGGGGATTGAAATGAGATGAATTTGAAAAGCTAATCAGAGATGAAAGAGAAACTAAAAACTTTAATGATTTCTTTCCATCAGATCTCCACACGCTGGCTTGTGCCTACAGGTAGAAGATGAGGGCAGGGAGAAAGAAAAAAGTTCTTACTTGTTCAGAAAAGGAGAAACAGATGATGAGCCAAAGAAGATGGTTTTATGGTTTTGTCAAGCATAGAAATTAATTGCCACAGAACTGGCAATTCAGTAGTATCTGTGTTGTATCTAAATCCTGTCTTTCTGAAGATCATCACAGTTATTTCTCCTCTTGGCCCAGCCTCCTCAAGCACTCATCTGTAGTTCCAAAGGTTTTTTCTGAGTCACACCCGTTCTTTCTGGCCCATCCCGTTCAGACAGCGCTGACTTCAGTCAGGGATGTTCACTTGGCTCAGAAATTAGTAAGATCCCTGTAGGCAAACATCAGAGATTCATCCATCTCCTCAGTTTTCAAAGGCTCATTTCATCCCTTTAAAGCTCCCCCCAGGAAAGTCTTTACAATCAGAATGGGTCCTAGGTTCTTTGCAGTCAGCAATTATCAAACACAGGCTTTTTCTTGCTAAGAAAAGGAGTATCAAAACCCCATCAATGGGCATATCCAGCCAGGATTTTGAGATGTACATAATGGTTTAATTTGGGATGGTACTTTAGTGTTCCTAAAAATTCTCAGCAGAAAACAGCTTTAAAAATGAGAAAGAATTAATTGCAAAGAATTAATTCCAAAGAATTGTCATTAAATTAGCATATATAATAGTAGTTACTGAGATTCATCCAGAGAGCAATAATTCCTATTTTTGCAGGAAGATGGTTAAAAATTGAAGTAGAAATTTAAATAATAGCATTGGCACAGTCACTGTAGATGAAACCACAACAAAAACAGATTAAGGAATGACTTTTTTAATTGAGTGGAAGGGTTTTTTAATGGAGGTTGCTGGTTTCTGTGATTTCTAATCATTAGAGTTATGGTGAAAATCCTTACTTTATTTTGTATTGTAATTTCCAACATAATGTTTCATTTTCCATACTTTGGAAAATGTGTTTTTTTCCCCTGAGTTATATATTCATTCCTGTGAATGAGTAACTTTTTGTTTTGTTTTGTTTTGTTTTTTCCTTCTTCTGGGTTTTAGAAATGGAAGAACTTGGGGGATTTTATTCTCTCCTTTTGTTTTCATTGCAATTTAATAAAAATATTCCTTTGCTCTTCTGTTAGCCTCTTATACAAAGTGAATTCAGATTACCACTGGTCTTGCCATTTTTTTTTTTTTTTAATTTTATGGTAGATTTTCTTTAGACACTAAGACATGCACTAGATGCACTTGAACTCTTCCTGTTGTTATTGTTGCATATTTTTTTTTGGTCCTATCAGATTTCAAAAATGTTCCTGAAGGGCTAATGAACAACACATCCTTATCATGATATTTTCTGTCTTCTATGTTGTTTTTTAGATTACATCTCACTTTGATCCAAATAATGGGCAATATGGAGTGGACACTTTGGAAAAATTACGAAAATTCCCTTGGTATCATGAAATTCAGAAACTGAAAACATATACTTGCAAATGGTGACCATAACAAGACTTTTAAGCTCACCACAGAAATTATTTAAAATACCAACTGCTAATTGGAATTACTTTCAGACATTGATTATATTCCAATAAATTAAAAAACAAAACCAAACCTTTGGTCAATTCCTTTGCATGACAAAAATGAATAAATAAAAATAGATTACTACACTGAGCTAAAAGTGTAACCATTTTAAGAGACCATATTTACTATCTGCTAAAATGGAGAGCTATGTGTTTTTCAAATCAGCTGGAACAGCTTTGCTATATTTCTTAAGGCTGCTGTAGATTTTGTGCTGGGAATCTTGTATCTTGATAAATGGTTTGTTTATCTACTTGCATATTTGGCATCATACACAGTCATTGCCTAAATAGATGGTGATACTAAATCCTCTCTCCTGACTTAATCAAACATTGCACCTCACCATAACAGACTGAATAATCTTTTGCTACCTTGCTGTAATAAATACCAAAAATCTGATGAGATTTGATTGAGATGGGAAAAACAAACAAACAAACAAAAAGTAAAAAAGAAACACACCTTTTCTGAGCATCTCAGTAGTTCTTGCTCCAGCAATTATAGAGCTTGGAAGAACATACACTGTGTGATAAAACTGTTTGTGTAGGTACTAAGAGCAAATATATGCCTGATGGTGACTAACTTTAGTTACTTACAAAGAAAAATCCACCCAATGAACACATTTCAGGAGAAATTTAGTGTTGTTGAGCTGTAATGGGTTCCCTGGTATATAAGGAGTTTATCATGATGCAGGTGATATTTTTATAGTTCTTCCATAGATGGTATTAGAGCTATTAGATAATAAAAACCCCGCACATATTGGTTTAAATCAGTTCAGATTTGCAAACCCAAAACTTGACTTCACCAGATGCCAAAACTGCTTAGTTAGTGCATTGAGGGTTAACTTAGATTTCCTGTAAATTTAGTTGCTGAAATAATAAAACTCCTCTATTTGGCTCACTGCAAATGTTTAAACACTGTCAAGGTCTGTTGTCATTGTATTCATGACTGATATATTCCCTTTTCATAAATCAGCCAAGAGAAAATTTTTATGTTCAAACTGAATAAAGCAAACCCCGTAATAATCTTCTGTTTTTCCACTCCACTCCCCAAGAATGCATTAGAAAAATATGAGTGAAAAAGAAAAGACAGGAGGAAAAACAATAAGAGAGAAGAGTGAACAAGGTGTGAAAATCTCAGAAGAACATCTATAGACTGTGTACCCTTGGTACAGGAAATGTTATTTGCTCTGGGTTTATTTACACCTAATACAATAACTCTTGATTAGAGCACCAAAACACTACTATCACCAAAGAACAAACCAATATATTAACAAGAGTTCAGGAAGAGCAACAGAGAGGAATGAATGTCAGAAGAGACCATTAACTCAAATGGTAAAATCCTTCACGCCACTGGTCATTGATATGAAATCCCATACAAACACTAGGAACATGCTCAGTATAAAGTAATTTTTCATAATTTACTACAGCAAGAGAGCTATTCAAACAAAAGGCATTTGGATATAAGCAAGAATTTATTTCATTTAGTGGTAAAAAGTAAAATCAAAAATCCCCAAGTCCTAACTGTTGTGCAAGTAAATTCAGAAGTTTCAGATGCAGCCTTATGTGATTGGAACATATGTTGTATGTGGTATTTAATATAAATTACTGTTGGTAAAGTAAAATAGAGAGTATTTTTTTTTTTCATCTTATAAAGGGTATTTTTTTTTCTAGACTTAATTTTAATTTTTACTCTAAATATTTTTGTTTCTATTACCTTATGCAACTTTTGTATTGCTATTAATAATCTCTAAATCTTCTCTTATTTAGATTAAATTACATCATTTTTTGAAAATATTATTTTATATATGTCTTTAGACAATTAAGATTGCTTAAAGATTGGGGCTTGGGATTTCACTGTTTGTTGTGGGTTTTGTGGTAGAGGGTTTTTTTTTGTTTTTGTTTGTTTGTTTGCTTGTTTGTTTTTTGGTTTTTGTTTTGGTTTTGTTTTTTTTGTTTTGTTTTTGGGGTTTTTTTTTGTTTCTTTTTTTCCATTTTTCCTGTAGGATAAACTTATTTATATGACCCAGCAGGAACTTGACCCTCTGGGGAGAGCATGGAATAACTTACGTGTGTCCACTGCAATGTCTTTATTGTTATTGGAGCTTAGTCTGTCACTCCTCTCATTTGTTATTTCCATCAAAATGAAGAAATATAACTGTACATCTCTATTTTTCCCACAATAACCTTCCATTTTCCTAGACAACTTTCAGTTTGAATTCTGTCTTCTGATGGTTTTATGTCTTATTTTCTCCTGCCATTATCTGAAAAAACAAATATTGATTGAAAATGGATACATTAAATTGCAATCATAGTCAGGCTAGAACACAGAATAAAATCACACAGTATTTCACTGCAAACAATGGAGAATAAATTACACTCCAAAACCTCAGTGCTAATCAGGTAAACAGCTGTTGTCTACTCCATATAAAAACAAAAATCCCATTTCCTTATTTCCATTTTATTTCATTTGAAATTGTTTGCAAAAATCAGTCCAAACGCATAAATAGTTATCCTTTTAATAATGGATCTTTCATGAATAAATAAATATTTCAAAGATAAATAACTATGTTTACAAAGACAACTCAGTCTACTGAATGAAACATTAGTTGTCACTTATTCATCCATCATCAACATCAAAATTTACTATTTGTTCCTTGCCTCTTTTGTTAGTGTAAAAAATTATCTTTAGTGATCTGGCTGCTTTAATGGCAAACTCCTATGAAAACTGTTGTTTATGATCAAACATGTCTCATTTATGGATGAAACATTGGATGTTAAGATATGGAACTTTACAGAGTTCATTATTATCATGATAGAGACCAAAAGTAAAATTCAAGCTTTGCAAACATTTTTATCAAAAATAAAGATTTTTATCAAATTAAAATTATCAAAATATCCTTTCATCTCTCTTCTCAGAAAAGATTACTTCAGATATGAAACAAAATAAATATTTTATTATATCAAAGTAAATTGCAGCAAACCACCGTTACTGCACATTAGGAAATACCGAACTATTTGCCCCAAGGAAAAAAAAAACTGTAAAAACACATTAAAGTATTATGTAAATAAGTATGTGTAAATACAAATTAAAAGGGCAAAGCATTGGAGACATATGAATAATAATTGAAACATTAAAGACTTAAACTCTTTTTCTAAGTAGGGTAACTTCTCAGTATTAGTCAGGAACATATAAATAACTCTGATTACAGGGCAACCAAAATCCCAGCACTCTAGTTCTAGGTACAAAACAGGAGATCTAAAGAAATTTTAGGGGGGAAATAAATCAGTTTAGTTGATAATGCTGTGAAAGCCTCTTTCCTAATGAGAGATGGGGAAAAATGTTTCTACTGCTGATCTTTAACCCACAAGTAAAGACTTGCAAATGATTTGCATGTTCATAACAACTCACTTTTCTGAGTTCATTTTCCTATGATATCAGATTCAACTCTTAAGAAATTCAGGGAGAGTTGCTTCAATTTTAGCTTCAGGATAATGTAGTATTCCAGTCTTTAGATACATTTATTTTGAAAATGTTTCTGAAATCTATTGGTTATGATTATTTTTTCTCTCCAGTGATTGAGTAGTTTACTAAAATCTGGATGCAATAGTGAACAGCAAAATAGTTTAAGATTCTCTAAATGTCACCAAACAAATTTTGGTTGCCACTTCATTGGTTTCTATTTTGTATATGCTGAATAATTCAGCCAACATTTAATTGCAGGAGCAGGGTAATTAAAATAAACTGTTAAAATGTGATCTATTCCAGTGCCAGCACACTCTCTTGATACATTACACCTTCCTCAGTTTCCAAGATTGTGACTAGAGGAGGATCTGATAAATTACATATGAGTGCTTTGATTGGATTTTTTATAATATTTGTGTCTGAGTTTAGAACTCTGGAGCAAATTCCAAATCCCTCTCCAATTATTTTAATTTTTCGAATAAGTGAAGAGGGCTTGATTCCCTCTTACAATTAAAAAGTTGACAGTATGTGAAATGAAGACTTTGTTCCTGCAGAATGCGGAGCAGAAAATAAATGTGTTTTAAATTATTATTGTGCAATCAAAGAAAAATCTGCATTGTGAACTAGAATTGAATTTTTCTTCCACTTTTGTTTCTTCATCCCCTATTTGCACGGTCTATTTCCAGCACTCCATCCTTGAGGTCCTTTCCAACCTGGTAGTCAATGATTACAAGCTTCTCTTATTTTTAAAATATTATTTAATTGCTTTGCCCCATTTTAGAGAGCAGACTGATAGAACAGTAATTTCCTATGCTAATTGAAGTTCAACTTACATTGTACCACCTCTAGCAGGTTGCTATATTTCTACTTTTAATATTGCT